TCATGTCAGGTAAAGGACCAGGGGAGACCTCAACAGTCGGTGCAGAGGGGTACAATGAAATTTTGGACACTTCCCATTCAATCAACAGAAATTAGGTTTTGTGATGAGGAAGTCATTGTTCAAGATAATAATGCTTCTTGCCTGAGAGCAAAGCGTATAGGAGCATTTATTCAGGAAATGTATATCAACTCAATGGCATGGCCAGCAAACAGTCCGGATCTCAATCCTACTGAAAATTTATGGTGGAATAAAAAAAAAAATGGTCCATGATAATTGGTCCTGCAAAGTTGATCTGTCAACCTCTATGCATGAAAGTTAGAGCAAGTTTGGAGAATATTGCTTTTCAGTAGTGAAGTCCATGCAACAACAACAACAACAAAAAAAAAGCTGGCGGGGGTGCAGCAAATTACTAATTGTAATTTTTTTTTATTTTGGATGGTTCCATAATTTTTTTCCTCACCACTGAGTATTCCATAATTTTTTCCTCCACTTGATCTGGAACAAAATATGCCATTAATTACAATAATATAATTTAACTTGTTTGAGGTATGTTTCATGAAGCCAGAATGTTCAGCTATTAAACAAAATTGTGTTGTCACATCTGTGACTTTTTAATTTGAAAATTAAGTAAAAAAAATGCTTTTCAAGTGTGGTGATTCCATATTTTTTGCCAGGGGTACTAAATTAATGCTTCAATATTTTAGAACCATGCAGACTTTTGACAGACTGGCATCACTTCCCGGGTATACTCCTAACAGGATCCAGATCAACCTCAGCCCTGACCAAAATAAAGCAGTTATTGAAGATGAATGAATAAATGTATTGGATTATGCTGCTAAGAAAGCTTTAGGTATCACAGTGGTCCGTCAAAATGAAGCATTCGTAGGTTAGTGTGCTTTAATACTGACCATCAATAACAAAAGCACACTAAACCAGCACCTGAAGGGTAAATTGGATTCAGAAATTTGGAACTCTCATGCATAAAATCAAAACAAGCATCTCATCCGGAGGTCACATTCAGAAACCAATTAAATCACTGCCCTGCATTACAAAACCCAGAACTATTTTAAGACACATTTCTAAACTCTCTACACCAGCCACTGGCTCACATCCATTTACAGAGCTGTGTTTTTTGTAAAGGCACCGAGATACAAGCTTGTGGGGTGCAAATCTATAGATACATGATATATGCATGTAAACAGCTTCTCATCATTGATTGGCTACATCATACATGATGAATTATTTAATCTCTTTTTTGAATAAATAAGTCTCTAGGAATTCATGTGAAGATTCAATCCCATTACAGTGTTAAAATGCCCTATAGAGCTTTGTTTAATTTCCTTCTCCGGCATTACATTTAGTTTGCATCAGGTGTATTATATAAGGTAGAATGTTACATTACCATGATTCTGACTGGGTACCGGAGTCTGACAACCCAGGTTTAGATGATCATTTTTCAACATATTTGTTGGGCCACATGGGTCTGACTGACTCAGGAACATTGTGACTCACCACAGGTTGCTTAGTGATCTCCACCAAGTCCTTAATGTTGTAATACTGGTGTTTCTCGAAAGCAGAGAAGAGCATTTCCAGAACTTTCTGCTTGTCAGCCCTCGCTCTCTTGCCTTCCTCTTTCTTTTTCTTCTCATATTCCACCTGTAAGCACAGAACTCACATAATTATGCGTATACATGCAAAACACAGATAAACACAAAGACAAAAATACAGAAGCACTCTTACATTATAGGTGTGGTTAGACACAGGTTTGTAATTGTTGGTAACTGCTTTCTCCAGCTGCTGAGACAGCCGGAGCGGCTTCATTGATTCCTTGATCTGCAGTCTGCAAACAATATACTTAAATTATTAATAATTTAATTTTGCAGTTTTGAATGCTGAATACTGGTTTTCTATACAAATCGCTGGATATCCTCACTTCTTTAACTTCATGTAGCTCTCACTGACTGCAGGTCTGCATTCAGCACGTTGTACCACCATGCCTTCAAGTGTAATCTGGTCTTTGAAGCAGGAAAAAAATAATAATTATGATTTGTATAAACAAACTCAAAAAATATATTTGCCAGAAAGCTCTTTTCAACATCTACTTGTACCATTAATACATAGTGCCACTCGATAAAATTGGGAAGAGAAGTACTGAACAATGCAGAATGATTCTTTTCAGGAAACAAGCACCCTCAAATGTAGTGTTGGCATACAACCCGTTTTCAAAATTCAACTTGACATTTGCGATCTTGTTATTCAGGCAGGTACTTTCTATGCCTCAATACTTATGTTTTGCAGTTTTATTAATAGTGGTCTGAGAAAACAGTAATATATTTAATCTACAGAGCCTCACTGAACTTCGCATACCTTTGACTCCTAGGCTCTTTGCTGCCTGCATTTGTTATAGTCTAAAGAAAACTGACCTCATTATCTAACCTCTAGAGCCCCTGTATACCACAACTGATTTAAAAAAAACAATATATATATATATATATATATATATATATATATATATATATATATATATATATATATATATATATATAGATATAGATATAGATAGACACACAAATCTCCCACGCACAAGTCTATATGTTTAGTTTATCACACAAGCATTCTTTTTTTTCTTAGTGTGGAGCACTTATCTACAGCACTGTGTGGTCTGTGCATCTGTGGTCTTGTGATTGAATACTAATTTGATAAAAGTAACTGTTCATGTATCACACAATACCACTAAAGGTCATGGTTTTGAAGGCTCTCTGGTCCAACAGAAAACCTTTTAACAGCATCAAAATTTCATCCACAAAATCCATCACCGGTTTTGCACACAATTATTAGCAATTACTGACTGATGAGTGCAGGAGTACTTATTGGAGTTACTTAATAAATACACCCACTTCTATTTTGAAGCATCCATTTGCCTCACAGTAACACACGGTTCAGCAGCACAAGAGGCCACGCGGAATGAATTTGGAGGGGGGAATATAAAAACACCCAACTGTTGCCATGCTCTTTAAAATGTTACACAATAATGATCATAGAAACAATATCCGAAAAATCCTCCAGTTATGTAGCAGGAGGCATTCACATCCACGCTGAATGGAGTTGGGGGTGGTGTAGGCTGTGGGCTGCCAAACCGCTGCTGAGATGTTGGCAAGGTTAGAGGTCAATCTTCCGCCCCCTCACAGGTTACCATCCTTTCGGCTCTGCCTGGGCTCAAAACATCCAAACATCCTGAGCCATCTACACTATCTCTCTCTCAACCCCCACTTACACCAACCTGTATGCACCAGTGCCTTGAATCCCCAGACTTCTCAGCTTATTTGCATATCACTGACAAATACAAGAATTTCAGAGCAATCTGATGCATCTTCCCAATCATCCCCAGCAGGTAATTCAGTTTTTATGTCTTTTTGTACAATATATGGCACATACAGAGCTTTGTGATGATTTTTTTTCTTCAGTGGGTTATTTATGCCTTGCTATTAATCTGAGAGACAATTTCTCACTTTGGATTGTTTTTGGCACTCACGTTTAACTGTGAATTTGCTCTCTTGTGTTTCAATCTCAAACTCGGTAGATGCTAAGGAGAAGGCGGGGTGTCAACCATACTCTTCCATATAGAACTGGATACATGGAGAGGGGTTATGAAAGAAACACTGTTGTGAAACACCACAGGCATCAGAGCAATCTCGGTTAGAAAAGGTGGAGGCAATCTTTATCATTTGTGTGACATTTTCTTTAGAATGTCTTAACTCTTGTTGCCACCCACCACCTCCATGTTATGCAATGACGGTCAACTGTAATTTGCAGTTTTAAATGGCAAATGTCTCATATAAAAGTCTTTCCTTCAACAACTGCCAATCAAGTGATTTAACCAACACCTCAGCAAACTATGAATAACTTAACAGCGTTACCATTTATAGAAAATCTTGGCACAGCAAATAATGACTGTGCACTATAATTATCATCAATTACCATTAAAAACATATAAAACTGGAGTGGCATCTTGTTCCGTGTGTATGCAGTTTAAAGGGAAATTACTGAGGAAGGAACTTCAGCTGAACATTTTCACTATATTTCTGTTCGTAAATAGGTCATTACGTTCATATTCATGATATGCATTGTGAAAACTAACACAATACACAGTGATTCGATAACACCCCCCTGTCCCCCCCAACAGCTGAAATTAAACACGGCTCTGATGAGCTGTTACTCATAGCTCTGTACAAGTTTTAAAATCTAGGGTAACACTCAGAATGGCACAGAATCCTACGCTTCAATATACAGAATATGCATATGCAAAGTAAAGAGTATGAAGTTAACATTTACTGTGAAAGTCAGTACTCGTGCCTCTTAGTGTAAAAATTTTAACATAAACAAATATAAAATTTCTCTATGTAATTAGTAAATATGTTAAAATTTTATAAATTACTGTTAAACTGTCAGACCTTTCATAAGAGCTGGACACTGTTACAGTGCCTTATCACAGCCTGAAGACTGAGGTGCCATGCAAGCCGCTAGCTTGCCATCAGGAGCAACTTTTACATACTGTTATAAGGGAAAATAAATTTATGAAACAAATAAAAAAGAACCAGGAATCCTCCACCACAAGTCTGAATTAAACTACAATCCTAAATTAATAATAAAAATTCACTTTCTCTGCACCTCGTGGTTTCTGTTACTCTGTTATATATTCTGGTGTGTGTTGGGTTCTTTTCTGTTTTGGACAAACAGTTGTGTAAAGTTTTAGTCTGAATTTTTATTTGTAACACTCAGTTTATGGATTTTATTTTAAATTTTTAAAAAAAGGTACTGAAATTTTGCTCAGCCCCATTCGATTAATAGAAAAAATAACCGGCCAACTAATCGATTACGAAAATAATCGTTAGTTTCAGCCCTAGATCAGAGTGCGTGGTCAGCCATGATATGGCACTTCTTGAGCAGAGAGGGTTAATAGCCTTGCTACCTCCAGGTAACCTCAAGGTAGCAATGGCAGCTTGGCTGTGCTGGGGCTTGAACCCATTACCTTCTGATCTGTAGTCCAAAGTTTCGAACCGTTGAGCTAAAAACCACTAAATAGTGGTTTTATTTCACAGAAATGCAGTCCATTTGGCATCTTGCATTTTAGCTGGAGAAGGCTAGTTACCGAATGTGCCTAAACTGTAACAAACATTTTCTTCATTGGTCATTGGTTTCCTCCCACCGCTAGAAAACATCTCAGTAGGTAGACTGGCTACTGTAAACTGCCCCTGTAGTGAATGTGTGTGAGAACGTGTGGGTGCATGATGCCCTGTGATGACTGGAATCCTATTCAGAGTGTATTCCTTCCTGAGTGTTCCTGGGATAGGCTCCGGATCCTCTATAATAACCTTGATCAGGATAAAGCGTCTACTAAAGATGAATGAACAAATGTTTAAACCGTTTGTTTGATTGTAGTGGCTGAATTGTATGGCAGCACATTCTCATGTGTTGCCATTTGTAATGAATATCTCATTTATCACAAACACCATGGTGTGTTGTTTTTTAAGTTCTTTTTTTTTTTTTAATTACCACAGGAGTCTTAGGAGTACTCGAAACTGCCTTTTGGAATTCCTGACGTTAGCCCACTAACAAATGCCTCTCATATCCAGACCACTCAAATTCATAAGTAACTTCAGAACAACAAATTCTATTTGTGCCTAGTTACCAAAGCCCTTCTACTAAAGTCTGTTCACTTGGCAGCCATCTTGGCAACAATTCTGAGCAGTTATTTTCTGTTAAGAACCAAGCTCATATGTACTTGAATGGAATGAGACACATACATGAAACATACTAACAATATGATATTTCAAATATGGATTTCAAATACAGTAGCTGTTGGTCTTAGGATCTGACAAAAATTGTGTGAGTAATATGTAGTCTTTGTCTCATATAACACAAACAAAAACATAAACTGTGTTTCTACAGAAATTACCCAGAACAATTAGTCCCAAGAACTTTTTTCAAGGGATCATTTAGTTCCTCCAGACCTTTGTTGTCTGCGTTTCCATCACGGTCTAAAGTACCATTAAGATTAGTCAAATTAGTCTGGTTGGAAAACCACTTGTTGGTCTGCTCCATTTTCACGTGTGAACAATGCCCAGCTCACTTAACCCACTTGATATTTTTTAAGTATACTTTTTCACTGCGGGTCACCATTTCGTCCTCAGCATATGTACTTAATAAGGCCTGAACCTTGTCAGTCAGTCAGTCATATTTTTTTAAGAAACTCCATTGTATTGATTTGAATCGCAATAAACAACTGTTACTGTGCACATCCACAACAGACTTTTAAAAACGGTGGTTGAAATAAAATGCTGCATACATTATACATGTCAATTTCTTTCATTTTTTTAATACTATATCAAAATCATTACAGCCTCAGTATTTGTCAGCTTTTCCAATCTTATCCAGTAGCCTGTACCAAGTCTCTTTTAAATACTGTATCAAAACCATTTATAAATGCTTGAACTGTTTTCCTAATAAATTTCAACAACTCTACATTGAGAAATGCAGACTAACTTTATTTCCTATAAAGCTGAAGAAAGGCACTTGAGAAATGCTATTTCTTCACAGTTAAGAGGTCTAAAAGCTCTTAAGATGCATGCCCTAAATCTGGAGGTGTTCATTACTTTACATACTTTACAAAAGATTACAATCACTTATGATTAGGTATGGTAGAACCCTCAATGTCTAAAACAATAGAATTTAGAAAAGAATACAAAAATCCTGCGTGATTTTAAAAATTCTACTGTAATTTTGAGTTGTTATTATGAACAGAGACTTCAACCCTGAAGTTGCACCTTCTATCCAAGTCAAGGAGTAGTCTTTTTGCTACTCTCAGAAGGCACACTATTGTCATGTTGGTGCCAAAGAGCTCAGCTCTCCTGACCCAGGGCAAAATCATTTGAACTGACTGACAGTTTCCATTGTTGACAGACACAGCTGACAGAAATACCTCAATGGCCAAGTGCAGAGAATGACGCCAGAGACACATTAAGACAACGGTCTGTATAAAGGCATGTCTCCTTAGCAACAAACAGACGTTGCTTAAGCTGTCTATTATTGTCAGCCCACATTCTTATGGTAACATTTTTAAATATATCGAGTACTAACCCTGGGAGTGTTTTATAGGCTAATGATATTCTTGTGTAACATATTTTGAGGCAGCTTGAGGTCAATTTTGTGGCAGCTATTTCCTCAGCTGTTGCATAGCTATGAATCAAAGACTCTGCCTTAAATGATTATTTGAGTGCTAGTAATTAAATTTCTCACCAGGATGTCTACAAGCATCATAAAGAAGATACAGCCTTTCCCTTTTAGGCATCTTAAAGTGTGTGTTGCATTGGCGACACTTATGCCTTCTGAAAGATGAGAAACATGTCAAAGCGCTGTTCTCGATCTGGCCGTGTTTATTTATAAAGCTGCCAATAGTCACAACAAGTACACAATAAGAACAGATGGCCCTCCAAAGCAAAGACTCTGACAAAAGAGAACTAAAATGTGTGTAAACATTATCAATATACCCCCATTTCCAGTGGCTCAGTTTAAGCCTAATGTATTCAGCCGCGTCTATGCTGTTTCGCTTCGGAGTACACAGGCTGCTGCCCAGCTGATGATCTCTTTCATCAGAGCCGAATGAGTGCTAATTGCTGAACCGGAGCAGAGGAGCACATCGGAGTGGAGAGGTGATTAAATCCAGCCTTTAAAGTGGAGGGATGGTAAGGCTGTTCTCGCTCGCTCTCGCGCTCTCTCTCTCTCTCTCTCCCCTTCTCCACTGACGTAGGCAAGCCCACCCTTAACAGCCCTCCTCCTCCTCCTGGGAGTGTGTAAGCATTTGTGACCGTGCTTGCATGCTCTTGTATGTGTGTTTGTGTGGCTGCGAAAGGCTCTGGCACTTGCTGGCAGGGCTCAGTGCTCCCGCGCTCAATGCCAGCGCCGTTGCGATTTGCTTGCTTGCCCGTACACACGCAAACACACTCCTCCCCCCACACACTCTGTCAGGCTGGGCTCTGGAAACGGCATGGAATGGAATCTCAGAAGGATGGAAAGCGAGCTAAGGCAGATCAATCCGGACTTGCTGCAGCCCAGCAAGAGCTTTAAGAAGCCCTCATCAGGCACAATTACCCTCAATGTGGGGGGTTACTTGTATGCAGCACAGCGGCAAACTCTAGCCAAACACCCAGGCTCTCTACTTGAAGAGCTCGTCAGTGGTAAGAAAGCCGTGCTCCATGTAGACTCCATGGGCAACACGTTTATCGATCGTGATGGGCCTGTTTTCCGTCACATTTTGAATTTCCTGAGGACCGGAGAGCTGATCCTGCCAGATGACTTCAAGGAACTGGCACTACTACGGCGCGAGGCAGACTTCTACCGGCTGAGTGAGCTAGCCCAGGCGCTAGAAGAGTGGGAGCATCAACAGGCAAGTCAGCGTGAGCCTGCCTTCCTAGAGGTGACCGATAGCCATGAGCGCTCACATGGCCTCAAGGTCTACTGTAGCGATGCAACCTTCATCGAGAAAGTCAAAACACGCCTTGTGCAAATCTCCAAGAGTCGTCTGGATGGCTTCCCTGAGGAGTTTGCAGTCTCATCCAACATCATCCAGTTTCGGCATTTCATCAAGTCCGAGCAGGGTTCACGTCTGGTGCTCAAGGAGGACAGCACCTTCCTGTGCACTCTGGAGACGCTCAAGCTTGAAACAGTCATGATGGCTCTTAAAGCAGGCTTCCGCCTGCTCACCTGCCTGGACAGTAGCCGTGGATCGGTAGTGCAATGCGAGGCTCTGCACTTTGTCAAGTGACCCGAACCAGCACAAAAGTAACCATCAACCCACATTGATGTTTCCAGCCATCAGCACGGGACCTGCACTGTATTTAAAGAGAACATTCTGCAATTTATGCTGCTTCTGCATTCCTTCAGATCCTACTAACCAGCCTTGAGTATTTAAAAAAAAAAAAAGTTATGTACTGTGTTTTCTTCTGGCAAACTCTGTATAACGTTTCATTCGACAACCTAGTAAGAAAAAAAAAAAAAGAGTATATGGATAATGGCTTCTGAACCGCAATGTATTATAGAAAACCTTTTGACTTCTTTTAGGAATCTTTTCAGATAAGAAGAAATGGTTCAGAACAGGCTCAGAACAGGCTGCATAGTTACAACTACTGTGATGTCTGATCAACAGGTTGAAATACATAATGCATGTGCAAATATTATTCACCTTTCGGAGCAAATGTTGTAATTGCCAGTGTTGTGAAAAAGTAAAGTTGACAGCAAAATCTTATCCAGAACCTGTTAATGTTTTGCAAAATAAAGATTAAAACAGTAACTTGTACTACATGCCTTATTTAATGTTTGTTATATTGTTTGATTTTTGTTTTTAAAGAAATTAAGAGATTTTGTTGGATTAGATACTAATTTAAACAGTAATGAATGGACGTCTATATAGTAGTAATAGAGACGCCGTGTATACGCTTATATACAGAGTTCCATGGGTTCAGTATAGACATAGGTAAAACTCATTTCCTGAGTAAGACTGAAGACAGACTACAATGTGCCCTAAAAAAAGTCAATATTCTGTTTGACCTAAAAACAGGGCCATTGTTCAATAATTATTAAATTTCTCCTCAAGCACTGATCCTAATTTAAAGCAGCCAAGCTTTTACTTTGTGACAGAACATACAAAATACCATATACAGAAACTATGTATAAATACAACCCTCCATGTGCACATGGATCACAGTCACTGTTACCTAATACAATGAGAGCTTTCAATATGCTTGTAATATCTGACATATTCTCATCGGATATTATTTTATCAGTGATCTGTTTGACAAAGTATACTACCAGCATAAAATTCATAAAATATTCATAAAATAGCAAAGCAATGCTATAGGTATTAAGGAAACCTATTTATATCCATACAGTTATGAAAACCAGGCACATAAAAATACTGGTGAATGTTGATAAATACATTTGTTTGACGCCAACGCAAACTCGGTTACAGCCCAAAGCCAGTCATTTTCAACTGAAGTAACTTTGGACATATGGCTACACC